TGATAGATTCATAGCATTCAAGCAAATTAAGGATTTTCAAACAACAATATAAACATTTACATTTAAAAACATTCAAGCACTTTCTTAATTATATGATAATTTTCTTATTAAGAATGTTTTGTCATGCCCTCGACTTAGGAACTGTAAACTCTAATCATCTTGATTTGGAGCTATAACTAGACTTCATCCTCCCTTCAAACCAACATTCAATTCCAGATACAATTGTCACGACCCAAATACTAACCCGTCATGATGACACCTATCGTAGTACTAGGCAAGCCGACATTTTCAAAATACTTCCAACATTTAATAGAAAATAAGTTAAAATATTTTGAATAACCAGAGTTTTCATAAAAAATTAAGGTAACAACCCAAACACAAGTGCGAAAAATAACTCCCAAAATCAGGGTGTCACTAAGCTCATGAGCATCTATACAACCAGTCTAGAAAGAAGTGTCAACAAGAGTCTGTATCAAAATACAAATGAAGAAAAGATAAGGAAGGAGAAATAAGGTCTGCGAACGGCGGGCAGTTGCCTCGTAAATCTCCAACGATCAACAACGCATGAGATCAATGCCCACCTTGTCCGAAAATACCTGGATCTGCATACTAAGTGCAGGGTATAATGTGAGTACAACCAACTTAGTAAGTAACAATAATAAATAAGGAACTAAAAGATAGTGATGAACACAGTGATAGTTCATTTTCAGTAATCTCAGCAAGAAAGTAGACATGCTTTCTGATAGGTTACAAGTACCTTGGGCATAGGTACTTTACTTTATGTTTTGATGATCTAACAAACTTACCATCTAGAACCAGATAAGGAACCTGTTACACATCTACAAGACCTCGAGATCACAAAGTTCTAGGATGGGATCCAGCATGGGATATAACTCAATTCTTTAGAGTGGAAGGAACAGCTGAGAAAACAGGTTCCTACCAGTTCCCGAGGAGACTGTATGAAGTCAACTCTCTAGTAGAAACGTTGTTGCCTACACAGGAGCAGTGCAACAGTCAACTGTCTCTGGAAGGCTTTTTACCTACCTTCCTTACATCATTGTAAGTGATGTCATACACGTATAAATACAATTAAGGAATGTAAAACAACTTACTTTATGAGAGAACCAGATAAAGGACCTGAAACATGCCTGGTACAATCATTCAAGATTAATTGACTCAAGATAATCTAGGCAGTATGCCTTTAGATTCACAAGAACCAGATTAGGGACCTGATACCTTAGTGTTCCCCTAACAGAAGTATAAGTCAACTGTACAGCTGGAAAGCAACTGCAGAAAGTGACTGCCTGCAACTATACACGCAACAGCTTTGCAGACAATGCAACAGTCACTTTCCATTGAGAAGAGGCATGTACTAACCAAGATTTGACATCACTAAGGTGATGTCTTTTGTAATATAAACCTGGTGCAAGGCACAAGACATTACTCTCCAAGACTTGTAAAATCAAAAACGAAAATCCTCTATCAAGTGCAAGAACAACCTCTCTCAAGAACAAAGCTGCTTCAACCTCAAGGACCGGATCCAAGATTGAAGATATATTAAGTCCTTAGGTTTGTTGAGTCTTTGTTATTTGTTCTTCATTGTAACTCCTATCTTACTTTTTAGAAGCTATTTTTAGGAAACCCAAAATCCGTAAACTCTCTAGTTCATATTGTGACTAGGTTTAGTCATAAGTTAAAGTCTTTATAACTAGAGAGTTATAAAGTGGCATGTAATAGTGTTATTACAAGTTAGAGTGATTAAAGTCTTTGTAATAGAGTTATTACAAAGTGGTTTGTGGTGAGAGTATCACAAGTTAGTCAAAGTTTCTCTAGTGGCTTGTGGTGAGAGTACCACAAGTTAGTTGAGTTGAATCCTTTGTAATAGAGTCATTACAAAGTGGCTTGTAACATGGGTTTACAAGTTAGTGAAGTTAAAAGCCTACAAGTGTAGGTCGTAGTTTTTGTCCCCTTGAGTTGGGATTTTTCCACGTAAAAATCCTCTGTGTTCTTTACTTACTACCGAGCTACTGCGAGAACAATTAGAGAACCTGATTCCCTATACTGGTTGGTTTTATTGTCTGTTGCTTACAGTGGGAACTTATAGAGAATTTGGTTCTCTATACAGTGGGAACTTATCATGTGTCTCATTTACATACTGGTTTAGTAGTCAGAACTGTGGGAACTCATATAGGACCAAATCGCTATACAGTTTGGTTCACTAGTGTTTTCAGTGAAAACTCATAGAGAACCTGGTTCTCTATAGAGTTAAGTGGACGCTTAATTTCTAACAATTGGTATCAGCACAGGTTCTTTCTAAGAGTTTAACACCTAGAAAGGATCTACATGGTTGCTCCACCAAACTTCGAGGAAAGTCAATCAACCAATAGACCACAAAGATTTCCGAAGATGGTTCGCAAAAATGATAGGATCCCAAAGAAAGGAAGTTCCAGCAGGAATTTTAAAGGGAATGATTGATATCATAAGTGTGGAAAGCATGGACACTTCATCAAAGACTGCCCATTTCTGAAACAAGAGCATTACAAACACAACTCTGACAAAGTAGCAAAAAGGAACTCGGTTCCTGACAAACGATTCAACCGAACAAGTGTAGCTGACAATGTTGTGAAGCAAGCTCTTGCTGCATGGGGAGACCCCTCCATTGAATTAGAAGAGGAACTAGATGCAGGAATCAACTCCATGATGGCAATGCAAAATGAAGATGATTCACTGTTTGCATTGATGGCTCAGTCCAATTAGGATGAAAAGGATGATAATGATGAGGTAAATTTTAGGATGTTCAGAGAAATCTGAAGTCCTACTCTTCGAAGAAATTGATATCATTAGCAAATGTTCTAATTGATACATATAATAGTTTTGTTAATGATAATGATGCCCTAATCATAGAGATAGAAGATGCTGAACAATCTAGAGATGAATTGATGGTAGTGGTTGTTGACTTGAAGGAAACCATAGAGAACCTTAGCAAAGAAAAGAATACTCTAGTAGAGAAAATTGCAACTACTGAGCAAGAAGGGATGATATGGTAGTTTCCATTGAAGACTTAAGGGAACAAGTGGAAGAAGTAACTAGAGAACATAACTTGTTGAAAAAGCAAACAAAAAAATGGATGGATAATACTAAGAGAGAGGAAGTGGTTAGAGAGGCTCAACTTGAGCTTGAGAGTGAGCTTAAGAAAGTTAAAATAAGTCTTGTTGCTGAGCTTAAAAAGAATAGACAACTTCAGGAGGATTTAAAAAGGGTTAAAAATAATCTTGATAAGTCACTTAAATGGACCTGGTCCTCTGATGTAATAACGTCTATGTACATGAGTAATGGTGGAAACAGGCAAGACATCGGGTTCCAAAAGGCTAAAACCTCCTATAATCCCCATAGGAAGTATGTAACTGTGGCTGATAATAGGTTGTGCACTCACTGTGGTCAAACAGGTCATTAAAAGGACTCTTGTAAAGTTAAAAATCAGTCTTTGCAGAAAAATAAAGTTTTTGTTAAAAAAAGGCATACAGATGAGGAACCTGGTTGCCTGAAAAGAAAATATGTGCTGCCTGCATGGGAAAAAAGAAGTTTGATCCGCTCGTTCTATCATTATAAGGGACCCAAGCTGGCTTGGGTTCCTAAATCTAATCATTGACTTAAGTGTGCAGGGAACAGTGAAAGGGAGCAGTCAATAGTGGCACATGGATAGCGACAGCTCGAAGCTCATAACTGAAGAACAAATGATTTCCTTCCATTGAAGGCCCTGCAAGGAAGGAGTGTATCCTTTGAAAATGGCAAGAAGGGATACATTCTGGGAGTTGGAAGGATCGGGAACAGTATGAGTCCATTGAACAGTAGAGTACCTAGTCCTCTACGAGATTTTGCTGGGTATTTCCCAAATTTATGACAAGGGGATCTTGGCTGTCTGAGTGCTGTTAATGATAATGCTGAGCAATGGCACCGAAGGTTGGGTCATGCAAGTTTCACGTTGCTGAACAAATTAGTCAAAAAGGACCTGGTTCATGGTCTACTCAAATCAGGCTTCAAGGATCACAGGGTGTGTGATGCATGTATAAAAGGAATGCAAGTCAGATTCTCTTTCAAGCCCAAAAAGGAAGTTAGTATCGCAAGGCCACTTGATCTCCTCCATATGGATCTATATGGACCTATGAGGATTGCATGTAGAGTAGGAAAGAGGTACATATTCTCGTCAGTATAGATGATTACTCCAGATTTACATGGGCCTTGTTCCTCAGAACTGAATATGAGACTTCAGCCAACATAGAGGAACCTGGTCCCTCAATCACAATATCTGAAGCAGAAAATAGAGTTGTGGATGCTGTACATGGAACTCCAGTTGCTGAGAAATTCAAACCAGATCAAAGACAAGAAACTCACTTGCCTTCTCAACCTTTCTCTCTCAAATAGAGCCTAAGAATATCAAGAAAGCATTGAAAGATGTTGACTGGATTACAGCTATGCAAGAAGAGCTTCGTCAACTTGAGAGTAACAGTATGTGGAACCTGGTTCCACGACCTGCTGATAGAACTATTATACGAGCCAGGCTCCCCGTGCTTGGTGTGAAAGGTTGTCAAAATTCTTTTTAGAAAATGGCTTTACAAGAGGAAAAATTGACAACTCTTTTTCTAAAGAAATCAGGAAGGAACCTACTCATTGTGTAGATCTATGTTGATGGAATCATCCTTGGAGCAACAGTTGACTCCCAATGTGAAGAATGTGCATACACTACAACAAATTTGGTCTAAGACCACACCAATTTTAGACAACACCTAAAAAGCGTGGCCAAATATGTATGTGGCAACGTTTTCTAGGGGTGGTCTTTTCTAAGACCTTTTGGCTACGCATTTTAGGCAACACTTATAAAGCGTTCCTTTTGGTAGTATAGACTATGTTTTTTAAGTATTGCCAAATTATAAAATAAATAGCAACAATTATTCATATGTAATGCAACACTTTGGGAGCGTGATTGTTAATATTTGTAGAAGCAACTCTATATAAGCGTGCCCTAAATATTTTTAAAAATTTCCGCTATAATTTCCCCCTAAAATTTTTACTGAAAAACTATGCCCTAAAATATTCGCTAAAACATGTCTCTCATTTTTACACGAAAATCTCCTTTTTTTTCCTTAAAATTTCATAATCAAAGTTGAGGGCTCTTCTCGTATCTTTTAGCAGATTGATTGAAGCAAATTAGAGTGAGTTCAATTAAATCTATCGGGTTCTGTGGAAATCACTCACGGAGATGCTAAATTTTGTCTCGGTTATGTGCCATCCGATTCAATTGGGAATCTCATTGTTTAGGGTTTACTATCATTTCTCAAAACTTGGATAAGATGACTGCTAATTTTGAAATTAAGCTCTATTATTTTGTGATGGGAGGTTATTATTCTTGAAAGGTGAATGCTCTTCTTCTTTCATACAGTATTTGCTCTTTAGAGCAGGTTGAAATAATTGGGGATTTCATTGTTTAGGGCTTACAACCGCATCCAAAAACTTGGGTAAGACGACTGCTAATTTTGAAATTAAGCTCTATTAATTCGTGATGAATGTTGTTATTCTTGAAAGGTATTCACTCTTTTTTTCCATACGACTAACACTTACAAGATCATATTTTTTATCTTTCATTTTTCGCTTTAGAAACCTGCGAATATGACATTTTTGTTAGATGATGAGTACATATTATTTTTATGCGTATTCGAAGGTTGACGACGTCTGCATTTTTGTGCATATTCTTTAGGTGGTGGAAGTAATTTATTTTTGATTGAGGATTATTCATATGATACACTCGTCTATTGAGGTAAAGTGTAACTGTTAATATCCACTTCCAGTGTGTTGTTGTTCAATACCAAAAAATGATTCATTTCCAATGGATTATTATCAATCAACTATTTATCAGTTGAAAGGGACAAAGGTCACGATGTAGATGTACGTATGTATGTGGAGGATTGTTGCTTAGTTGTTAATATCCTTGATGTTTAAAAAAAGAAGAAAAATTAAGATTAGCAACTTCTTACCGCCTGATCTGTTCTTTTGATAGAAATTTTTTATAGCTCTTGCTGCTTAGTTTCCCGGTATTGAGGTTTATATAGCTTTGGTTAAAGCCAATAGTGTGCATGATTCAATTGAATTTTGGGCTTGAAATGAATATGATATTTTATGGATATGTTGAAAGCATGCTCTGAGTTGTTATTACAGTGTTCTTTGTGTGTTTTGGGGAGTATATATGCTAAAATATTTGAAGATTTGGTTAGGTCCTATGCTTGTTTAACTCGGTTTAAAGAATCTGTTGGGTTAGAATATAATAATAAGTATGTCCCAGTATATTTGTTTAAACCAATTTGCCACCCACATTAGAAGCTTTATCGTCTATTGTATCAAGTTATAATATTGAATTTCTTCAAAATTAATTATTTACAAAAAGCTCATTAAAAGAGAGGGAAAACACACACATAGGAGAAAAATGAAGTAACAAAAAAATTTCTCTGGAAGAAATAGTTGATTCTTCACGTACTCTTGCAAAAATTTGTACCAGCTTTCTTATTGTTTAGAAAAAATGCCAATTTAAACTGGTTAGTTTATCAATGGACCCTTTTTTTCTATTTCATTATTGTTTTACCATTATGTCTAGGAGAATTTCAACCATGTTGCTAGTCTTTCACATTCCCTTTTTAAGTACATACTCATTTATGGGGATTTCTTTGCTTGGTCAGTGAATCTTGTTAATGATCTTGGTGTAAAATTATCAAGAGGCTAGATAAATGTATAGATGGATAATTGTCCACTTTGAGATGATCTTTGAACTTAATCAGTTGTTGCAGTTGTTTTCCTGTTAAATAGTGGAAATCTTCAGACTTCTAGCAGTTTTAACTCCCCAAGGGATACAGGGCGACTCAAGGTTCAAGGCTCCGATCGTTCATGCACTTTCGTAGAGGTAATCTCAACTAATAAATCTAAAAGCTTTTCCTTTTCTATGTTCTGGCGACTTCTTATTGTCCATATATTTTGTTACTTGAATCATTCTAACATAAGATTACATTTTGATCTTGTAACATTTATAGATTTTTCTCTATTATTATAATTTGTTTTGGGTCTTTTGTATATGTATATCTCATACATATTGAACAATTTTGGCATCTTATGAATGCGCTGCCATTATTATTTGAAAGTAGTGAGTTCATCCTTCATACTAACTCACATGTGAAATTTGATAATCTTGTGGGAAGGTTAGTTGATAGCGAATAGTGTATGGGTTGTGAGGCCAACATCTTCTATATTCCTCGAGATCAATCATGATCTGATTCTTGAAAAGGTAGTTTTTGATTGTTTTGGTTATCGTGGCACGCTCCACCTGTTTTAGGTCAATTTTGGATAGTGTAGGAGCTATGTTGCTCGAACTCTTCGAAAATATTATCGGGTGCGTGTCAGATCCGCCAAAAGTAGTGCATTTTTAGAGGATCTGACACGTGAGCGACATCATTTTGGAGAGTCCGCACAACATAGTGTAGGAGCAAATTTGACTCTTCTTTCTATTTGAGTAAAGGGTTAGACACCATTTGTTTAGAATTATATGGACAAGTGCCTAGAGTATAGTCTAAAATTCTGAAAAGATTGGTAGCTAGGGAAAACATGTCAAATAACATGTAGTAATATTATTATCAGCTAACATTGAGATTGGAAAATGATCTAAGTATAATTATGAAGATGTAAGCCAATCAGTAATGTAAGAATGACTAAATTTTTATTTTAAGATAAGTGATCAAAGTTATTTAACAATAAAATAAAACTAATCAGGTTGAGCTGGGAAATAAAAAGTAAGTTGAATTGAATATAGATGATTAAATATTTGACAATGCAAAAATACAAAGGAATGCTGATTATAAAGCAAAAATATAACTGGCGGGAATGCTGATGAATATTTAGTAGTATAGCCTATCCCTGCTAGTTTGGGTTAGGCTTAACCCTTAGTGGTCGTTTGATACGAGGTATTAGGTGGGATAAGAGTTGGGATTAAATTTATATCTTGTTTGGTTGGAGGTATAAATTTACCCCGTGATATATTTGTACCTCTAACCAAACAAGGTATAAACATAATCTCAAATCTTATCCCATTTTATCCCACTTTATAGTTTATACCCTAAATTATGGGATTATATTATTCCATCTTTTATGTGGTATAAATTAGTACCGGGATTATAATCCCGGTACTATTTTGTCCACGTACCAAACGACCCCTTATATTTTTAGCAGATATTTGTTCTTAGGATACTGTTTGGTATTTAAGTTTTTGAGGGAACTCTGCTATGTTGCGCTAAGTCTGCACTTACACACTTTTGTTTCTATCTGTTTAATAATTTTATTTTGCATATGTAGGAAAGTTCTGGCGAGCAATTGGAAATGGTGGCCAAAGACAATTTCATCTATGAGAATTTAATGATGACTATGGACAATTAAATTTTTTGTATTCACGATACTATAGTAGTACGTTTGGATTTGTAAAGTTGAAATACTAGCATGGCCCTTGAAACAATTTGCTTTATACATTAATTTAGTACACAAGATTTACTCCCTTTTGAATTATTCTTTTGTTATCTTCTTGTTAATTGAGCGCTTGATATTTTCAAACTTAAAATTTGATTATAGGATATGTACAATAATAATTTATTAACCACAAAAGCATGGCTTGTACAAATAAACATATTTTTTATAGCTTAGAAAAAAGTTACCACACTTCAAAAATGTGGCAATAGGGATTGAAAATTTTATGGCCTATATAACAGCAAAAGCTACACTTGAAAGACGTAGTCTAAAGAGTAACTAAAGCCACGCTTTTAATGTGTTGCATGGTACCCGAAAAGCGTAACCTGATGAGTGTGGCCTTTGTTTGTCTTTAAGCCACGCTCTTCAAGTGTGGCTTCTAAAACAACATTTCCAAAGCGATGCTATAGGTCAAAGGTCACGCTCCTTTAAGCCATCCCTCGAAAAACGTTGCAGTAGACCGAAAAGTGTGGCATTTACTGATTGTTTAGGCCACACTTTTCAGGCGTGGTTAAAGGCCTAAAATGTTGTAGTGATAACTCATGGGAAGTGAGTTTGAAATAAGTACGATGAGATAACTGAATTTCTACTTAGATTTACAAGTGAAGCAAGAAGCTACTGAAGAGATTTGACATGAAGACATCAAAAAATCATTGACACTCCCATCGCCACAACTACTTATCTAGACTGAATGAACCTGGTTCCCCTATAAATCAAACCATGTATAGAGGTATCATATGCTCACTTCTGTAGCAGATCAAATATTATTTTTTTGGGGAGGAGGGGCTGTGTGCCAGGTTTCAATCCTATCTAAATGAATCTCATCTGAAAGCTTCCAAGAGAATCCTAAGATATCTCAAAGGGATGCATGACCTGGTTCTCTACTATCCCTCGGTTGATAACTTTGACTTGGTTGGATATGCTGATACTGATTATGTTGAATATCTGGTGGATAGAAACAACACATCTGGACCGACACATTTTCTGAGGTCATACTTGATCTAATGGGATACAAAGAGACAAATTATGTGGCTCTTCCTACTACTGAAACTGAATACGTGGTTGCTGCTTCTTGTTGTGCTCATTCACTATAGATCAAGCAACATCTTGAAGACTTTGGTGTATTTACAGATTGGACCCGATACAACACAAGAGGACAAAACACATTGATATAAAACACCATCTTCTCAGGGACAGTGTTGAAAAGGTTCTGATTTGTATGAAGTCCTGGAAGACGAAGGATCAGGTAGCGGACATCTTCCCCAAGGCGCTGAGCAGGGAACTTTTTGAAAGACATCGTCTGGAGTTGGGGTTGATCAAGCTCAACCGAGGACCTGGTCCCTCGATTATTGGCTATGTTAAGAAGGAAAGGTACAATGCTAAAAAGTGTTTTTCGGTGACATCTAACTCAAATCTATATTGTTACAGGTATGCACATATGGCAGTTTTAGGACAAAACAAGTAAGAGTGACATTACACTTCTAGGAGTCTTTGCTCAAAATTTTCAAAAACCGTCAAGGAACCTGGTTCCTGTGACTCAGGTTAGTAGTCTCTCCAATACTTATATGCCTTTTTAAGCTGCTGAAGTGTCATGTCATTAATTTATTTCTGCCTTTCTCCTACCTCTCCTCCTACCTTTTGAAATCCAAATTGTTAAACCTTTTCTGAACTGACCTGCTGCCCCAAAAAGGCACTCCTCTATCTTACACCCAAATAAAACTGATTCTTTTCTTCAAAACCAAAATCAACCTTGTCTCAAAACAATCCTTCTTTCTAAATATGCCAGAAGTGAACCCAACTCTCTCACTTTCGAAAAACCTAACTCTATTAGAATCAAAACCCTAAGAATTCTTTGATAGATTTTGATGGAAGTTTAACTGAAAGGGAACATGGTAGATCTAATATTCTAGGGCGTGAGGCTGAAGTTGTTGCTGGATTTGTGGAAGCCTTGAAGGATAGAGAAATTGGTAAATGTGAGGACTGAATGAGGCACCTGATCCCTCAAGTCCTTCTCATGAAGTCAATTTTAATAATGATCTTTTTCTCTTTGAGTTCTGTGTATAAATGAACTTCCGATCTAGTAAAAAGGATTGATGAAAAGTAGGCTGATTGATGATGAAGTGGTGTGACCTGCTTATGTGATTGTGGAAGAAAGAATGGAATGAAATCTTTTCCTATGAGAAAGAATTTTTTTAAAAAAGGTGTTGGCTGAGAAAGATGCAGCAGATGATAAGGGTAAACAGATTGAGAAGAAGAAGAGGGAGACATGGCTGCTCTGGGATAGAAAGGGTAGTGTAAGCGAGGAACCTAGTTCCTTACAGAAGCAAAAGGTTGAGCCATTAGGTTTGCAGGGAGAAGACGTTGAAGTTTCAAACAGTGTTGTAAGGCAGAGTGTTGAATATGATATTACTAAAAAAATGGAGTAACTTCTCGATATTGTTGAGCTCCAAAAATTGGAATCACCTCTTTGTTCCTACAAGTCCCAATGTTTCTGAAGAAGTGAAAAAACTTCTATGTCTTATGTGATACTATGATGCTATATGTGCATGGGACTGAGTCTGTTCTTGATAAGACGACGCTTGGAGAGATTCTTAGTGATTTGATTGATGGCTCAACATACTCAAATAGGTTGAGAACCTGGTCCTCGAGAACCCTTGGCAGAATAGAATGGTAAGTTGTAGGGTGAGAATGAAAGATTGAGGAAACAGGTGGAGGAACTGAGAGAGTAGATGATCATTGATCAAAGGAGAGTAAATGAACGCATGGACAAGCTCATCAAGGCCTTAGCCCCTTACTTTTCCTCTTGCCCAGTGATCCATGTCTTTCAGTCCTTCCAAATTTCTTTGAATTCTTATCCTCTTTTGATCCCTATATTTGATAACATTGGTACTTCAGTTATTTAAATTGTCATAATATGTATTGTTGAAACTAGTGTGCTTTTATTATAATTACACACTATGGGCAATCACTCTATTTTGTGCACTGACATTCACTTGTTGTTCTTGTTATTGTTTATGCTGTGTTGCCCAAGTGGTCTGAGTTAATGTTGCTGAACTTCTTTTTGGTTGTGCTTCTTCTGTTATTCTTTTTGATGATGCCAAATGGGAGAAGTTATATAGGTGTTGTGTTGTGCATGAAAGATGGCTCTGATTTGCAGGGGGAACGTGCTGATAATATGTTGATTCTAGGTCTGATCCACAGGGAAACATGTGAGGAATCTGGTTCTCAAGAGGAATATTAATTTTGGCTTTGTCATCATCAAAGGGGGAAATTTCTCTAAGTTACACTATGCCATGTTTTGATGATGACAAACATTCTCAACGTATTGGTGTCACACCTCCTTTTTCCGCACCCGAGGGGGTGCAGAAGGGAGTTTTTTCCAATTAAAGGACAATCGAAACGGGATTGGTTTATTTATTCAGAGTCGCC